TATTATTAATAAATAAGAAATGAATATGAAAGGATAAAAAAAATAAAAGAGTGAGAGAATAAAATTGTAAATATACAAACATATAGAAATTAGAAAACTTGTCAACAATCTTATTAAAATTGAAGACCCGTCAGTGATTAGAGTTGAAGACCCCCAAAACAATAATCTGATTAAAGGTAAAACTTTGAATTTACTGGTATGATTCAAACATAACTCATTCATTCATTCATTTCTAATGATTATGTTCAACACCTTGAATTATCAACCTTCTTTCTCGGACACTAGTTTAGTTGTTTGAACCCCCATGAGTAAATATATAATTAGCAATAAAATTTGTCTAAATTGTCATTTATTCTTTGAAAATAAGAAATTTCTTGTAAATTTAATTTGTCTACTTTTATTTCAATGAAATGTAATCTTAGATATAAACTGATTATCTTCCAATAAAGCCCTTTTGAATTATGTTGAAAAGTTTTTAATGTTGTATAATTTTGAGGATTTTTGGAATTCATCTACCAATTTAGTAAGTAAGTCTTTAAATAATGAAGTTTAAATATATTTATTATTATGTTCTACGAAATTGAAAAAGGAAGTCTAGTTGAAAAATACAATAATTGTTTAAAAATTTCTTGATTTTTTTCTAACAATATTTCTAGTTTGCCATCTAACAGAAAGATTGAATTTTCAATAGATTTACACTTGAAACTAAATCAATTTCTATAATATCATATAAATGTCACCTTTTAAACTAATAAAATTGAAGAAACAATTGGGCTAGTTACTTTAAAACCAATTCTTTCATTATAATGTATCACTTTGGGGAGTCCTTATTTTTGTTAGTTAAGAAAAAAGACAAAAATTATAAGTTATCTCTAGATTATCATCAAATAAATTTACTATAAAAAAATAAATACTCTCTTTCTATAATAAATGATTCAATAAAACATAAATATTTATTCCATGTAACTATTTTTCACGATTTACTCATTTAAATGATTAGAATCTAACTTGGTTAAAATTTAGATTTAATTATATTTAACTTTGACTTTGGAATCACTCAAAAGACTTTTGAAATGAATAATTTATAAGTTTTAGATGCTATACATATGAAAGTTCGAAAAAGAGTAACCTAACTTTTTAAATTTTGTTCTTAATTGGTAAACAAAATTTAAAATGTAATTACAAACTATAAAACTAGATTTATTGAGCTTTCCAAAGGTATTTAGTTTATAATTTGTTGATATAGTTTACTTTTGATAAATTTTCTTCCAAACATGAAATTTTACATGAAAGGAATTAATTTCTTTTATATAAAATAAAAAAAATGTCTAACGTGTATGATCTTATGAGCATAATCTAATCTTATATGATACATGATCAATATTAAATTTTAAATTAGGTTTTCAAGTCTTGAAGATGAAAATATTGTGCTTTTAACGCAAGTTTGTTTATTGTTTTCTATGACTTTCCAAATGATAGGTAACTTAAAATGTGCTTTGAATGCATATTTTTTGTATCAACAGATTTTGGATAATCCAAATTAAAATTTATCTTATTTGTCAATCAAAATAGTGTGAGTTATATGTTGAAAATAACACCCGACAATTGATTGAGTTTTTTTTAGGGTGGCTTAATAATCTATTGTGTCCCTCTACGAGTAGACTGGATGCAGATAGTAGTTGATAAAATTTATGATGTTGAGGCTCTAGTGTCTTTACCCACCGTAGAAGTTCAACTAGTGGGACAGACAAACGACGCATTCTTGACTTGGTCAAGACGTTTGGTGATATCACTCTTAGCACGAATGAAAATAATGTATATATTGTGTATTTTCTCTTCTTTTCAATTCATATAATTATATGAATGTTTAATAAATTTTTATCATTTTTTTAGGAGTTTATATTATGGTAAGCATAGGAGAGAACCTGTTAGTAATGGAGACATCACAAAATTTGAGGATGATCCCATATTTATGCTTTTGACCATATTACCACAGTTGAGGAAGATACCTCTTAAATACACTGGGACACCAAAGTATTTGGAGTTAACAATTTTGTTGTTTCATTGTACATTTTCTTACCCGATGCATTAGAAATTACTAGGAAAACTGCAGATTAGATATTTCCATCATACAATTGTGGTCCATGTAAGTTATTTTCATTTATGTTTCTAACATTATAATAACTATATTTAACTTATAACTCATTGTGTTAGGTACATTGACAAATTAAGTGTGAAGTAAAAAAATCTGAAGTATATAAATTTATTGAACCTTAATCAATCCAAAAATTTAGGAACGGGAAGATTAAAATCTATCAATATATGCAAAAATGGAGGAGTAACTCACAAAGACATATATATACTCGATTTTATACATCGAAGGGTTAATATTTTAATTTATATTTTTTAATCATGTTAATTTTATAACTAATTTGTAGGTCATATAATGTGGATCTCATTAACGAGTTAATTGTAATCATTCCCTAATATTACACTATAATGTGGTTTTGTTAATAACACGAAAAACTAAGTCAAGAAATGAAAAGCCTATTACAAGAGTAATTTTATCTATTTTTCATTATGTTTTAAAAGTGTAAATATATATTGAATAATATCTAACTTTATTTCAATTAAAATTGTGTCTGAAACAAATGTTCTAAGTGAAAGATGCGGAACAAAAAATTTGCACTTTGTTTATTGTAAGTTAGAAACTTATTTATATAAACACCATAATTATTATTTGTATATAAATTTTAAAAATAACATCGTGTTTTGTTTCTCATTTCAATGTAATAAGCCAAATACTCCTATAAACGTGACTATTATATCATGTATTGAATGAGAGTTATAATTTATGTGAGTATAACTGATTATTGGACAGATGTAATTTCTTTCAACATTTGTTAAGTTAATTTATGCGTATTGCATGTTAATGAGAATCAAATTAATATTTTAGGTATTTCAATATTCCATCTTTATTATCAGAACATGATATTATACAAATTAGAGAATAATGTGCAATGTTTTTTGTTCAAAATTTCTAGGACTTAGTTTGTAGATTATTGTTTGGATTATATTTTATTGTCTTTTGTAGTTTAACATTTAAGTAGTTTAATCTTTATAATAATTTAGCATTTAAGTAGTTTAATCTTTGTACTAATTTAGTTTTTACATAATTTAATCTCTGTACTAGTTTAATTTTTACGTAATTTAATGTTTAATAGTTTAGTTTTTATAGTTTATATTATATTATATCATTCTATTTTGAATTATTGTTATCTATCTTTGAAATCTTGGTTATTTGTATTAAATATATATATATATATATATATATATATATATATATATATATATATATATATATATATATATATATATATATAAAACAAAGCAAATATTAAAAAAAAACTTATATCTAATATTGATCCACGTAACATAAATTTCACTCATTTTTTTATTTTTGAAACTCATTAATGTCTATTTTTATTTTTTTCAACATAAACTAATGTAAATTGTCCACATAAATAATACATATTATGTCTAATATAAATTTATATTTCTTCTATTAATGTAAAATTTATATCTAACCTAAAAAAGTCAAAATACAGACATAAAAATTTCTGTCTGCCTTAATATATTTATCAATTGAATAATCAAGGTAAAAAATAAAACTTTTGTATACGTAAAAAAAAATGTAAATTTGTAATAACGACTTCATAAATCAAGTTCTTCAAATCAATTCAAGGAAAAAAGCAACCAACCAACTAGTAACTTTACGTAGGAGTTGCTATAACAATTAATCTTAGTATATAGAAAGTATAAATTATTTTTTATATTATAATTTAATAATAAAATTTATTCTTAAATTAATCTTTAAACTTTATTATATTCTAAAAATAGAAATAGTCTTATAAATTAAACACTATCTAATTCTAATAAAATCGAAATATCATAACTTATTATTGATTGTATCTTTTTGTCCGATACCAAATGATGAAAAAGATGATCATCTTGCATGGGACCAGGTGTAAGCTTTTTAGGTCACAATATTCAAACTCACCGCCTTCATTTATTTCCACTCGGTTCTTTCTCCTCTCATTCGTTGAAAACTTCTCCACATTAAGTGTTCTTCATCTCCTTCTCCATTTTCTAGCTACCATGCACAACGGTATTCTACAGTAACAGGTTAGTCACTCCTCTTCTCTCTTAAGTTATTCTCATGAATTTCTCCACTTTTTAGAGAAAAAAGTTTAAATAAAGTAACAAAAGTTATGTGCTTTCATCTCTTCCTTTCCATCCTTTTCTTCTTCCTTCACTATTTCTGCTCTGTCTGGTTTACAAAACATCTCTGCATAATACTGTAAAAAAAGTATCAGTTATTTATTATTATTATTCCTTTTCAATGTTTTAACTTAAGAATGAGAACATCTTATAAAAATAAAACAGATCAAAACAACATCGATGCGAAAAAATTAATAACAAAATAATTCTGTTTTGATTTTCTTAATGATACGTTATGCGAAAAATATTTAATGGTAAAATTATGAAATAATAGTTGAACTTAGAAAAGCAATATGGTTTGAAATAAAGAGTTAATTAATTAACATATTCTTATATTTTGACTGGATTCATTGAAGCTTGATATTTATTATATATATATATATATATATATATACATATATTTAATTTATATATTATTTTTAGAATATAAATATTTGTTTTGAGATAAATAAACGGTAGACTAACTTTTAGAAGAAAGAAACTGAAAAAAAAACTTCTTTAAGAAAGAAGTGACTTATTTTTATTATTTTATGTATATTTATTGAAAAAATTGAATAATAAAAAAACACATATAAGTGGCTACCAATTCATGACCTGGAAAAAAATTTATTAAACTGGGTATTCTTTTGATAACAAATTATATAAATGGTGATGTGTTTAGAGAATACTTGATAATTTGTTACAACATATGTTGAAGTGAATCTGGTGGTTGTATTTTGATGGGATGCCATTGTTCAAAGAAAGCAAAGTTACCACCAGGTTACGAGGAACCTGCCATTCTGGCGGCTGAGACACCTTGTGAGTATCCATCATTAATTTCCTCCTTCTCTGTTTATGTTTTTCTTTCGTGACATATGTGCTAAATACATCTGAATATTAATCTCTTCCAAAAATCTAAATATTTATATTTATAATTTTTATTTCATTCTTGAAGTTAATTATCATGTTTTATAATTTTATTCTTAAAAAATTCTTTATAAATTAAGTAAGAATAATAATGTATAAATTTATTTTTAGCATCAATTTGTACGAGTATATATGGAGCATACTCCTTAGTCAAATACTTCGATCATACAATGGATGATAATATTGGGGTTCATTATTTTTTTTTTCTCAATCTCATAAATAACCTGAAACTCATCATAATAGGTCGAGATTAAAATATCATGTTTTTAGTATTCTAATTTTTTAATCTATTCAAACACACCTTTAAAAATTATGATATGTTAAAATTTTAAAATAAATAATACTATATTCATAATGATGAATATAATGATATTATTATAATGAAGATGAGAATGATATATTCTGTTAAGAAACTAGTTTTTAGTAAATTAAAAGTTTTTGTTTGATTATTGTTCACAGTTAATGCGAATGATGTAGAGGCCTTATATGAGCTGTATAAAAAGTTGAGTAATTCAGTGATCCAAGATGGTCTTATTCACAAGGTGAGGCATGCATGGTGTTAAATAAGTTTGATGGTAATTAACGAATAAATTAATTAGTTGTGGATCATCTTCACTTCCAGGAAGAATTTCAGCTGGCACTCTTCAGGAATAAAAACAAAAGAAATTTATTTGCAGACAGGGTGTGTTAATCTCACCCATGCTTGTAGGTTTGGTTTCGTTAATCTTACACAGGTTCAAGTATAAGTTAGTAAAAAAATTAGGTTTAATGAATAGTAATGGTGCACTTTCGCAGATCTTTGATTTATTCGACCTCAAACGTAATGGGGTAATTGGGTTCGGGGAGTTTGTTCGATCACTGGCTATTTTTCACCCAGATTCACCTCTAGAAGACAAGATCCAATGTAAGATTCATTCTCTTTAACTAAAAATTTGAATTTTTCTCAGTTTATCCGCAAGAATTTATGGATTCTTCACACTGATTTAAATTATATAAACCATTTTGCAGTTGCTTTTAGGGTTTATGATCTGAGACAAACAGGATATATTGAACGAGAGGAGGTACAGTTTTCTTCTATATATGAAATTAAATAATCTCTTTAATTTTAAATTTTTTTTGGTCAATTTCTTTTACTCTAATATGAATGCAGTAAATGTTTAGAAGAATGGTTTATGAGCAGTTAAAGGAGATGGTTATGGCACTTCTTCACGAATCTGATGTTCTGCTTTCAGATGATCTTGTCGAACTCATAGTGAACAAGGTTCATGTCCAGCATTATGTTCTTACTTTCAATCTTCCCTTAAAATTTATATCAGTGTGTTGAAAATCGGGGCATAACATTGATTTAACTACAAATTTGTCTATTTATTATTTTTAAATAATTAAATTAATATAAATTAGTAAAAATATTATACTTTTATCTTATTCTAATAATTATTCATCTTTCAGTTTTTATTATATTTTATATTTATTCTATTAAATTTCAATTGAATATTTAAGATTTGAATATTTATTCTATTAATATTATCACTTACCCTAATCCATGTTTTACATTTCCTATCTAGACTTTTAATGACGCTGATACAAAACGTGACGGAAAAATCGATCAAGATGAGTGGAAAGCATTTGTGACAGCTTACCCATCCTTGTTAAAGAACATGACTTTGCCATATTTAAAGTTGGTAATCTCTTCATCAAACATTTTCTTTCCCAAAAGTTTGATTTGAAAAAAAAAAAAAAATGATCATGCAATAATACTACCATTTTTAGTCAAAAAATGTCATCAAAAATACAGAAAATAAAAGGATTTTATACTATCGATTTTGATAATAATTAATGATTTTTAAAGTCATTATAAAGTGTTTCTTTTGATATGAGTTTTTCCTTTCTTGCTTTTTTGTAGGGATGTCACTTTAACATTTCCCAGTTTTGTTGTGAGAACTGAAAGTGAAGACTCAGATATCTAACATGTGTGTTCAGCTTCAGCTTTTTTCACTCCCACTTACTTTGTGTATGTTTCCAAACAAACTTTTTTTTTTTTTTAACTAAAATCAATTACGTCAAACTTTGTTTACTTTTGCTCCTTTTCTTAAGTATTGTGTTACATTCGCGTGACAATTGAGTTAAATGTATTTGGATGAAAAAATTGTGAAGGATAATTTTTTAATTGAAAATTGAAAATATTTATAATAAAATGTATTATTTTGAAAGAGAATTTAAAAAGACATTTATATTTTAGAAATTTATATTTTAGAAATTCATAAATATATTTGATTACTTATTTTTTTTTTAATTTTGAATTTTATCAAAAGAGTAAATAATTAAAACTCTTCATTCTCTTTTCTCCCATATTTTATGTATTAATTTTTTCATAATATTCTATTTTCATATCATCATAATCTAAGTGTGAATATATGTTTTGATTAGATTATTTTTAAAAATAACATTTTAAAAATATTGTTTTATGAGAATTTATTTTAACTATATTTCTCACGAAATTATTCTAATGAAAAGAGTAAGAATTTAGGTTTCTCAATTTTTTTCTATTATTAGAACATTTAATATAATAAATAATTAAGGGGTAATTTAATTTAGAGAAAAAATAAAAGTGAAAAATGACCAGTTAAAAAAAATGAGAGAAAAAGAAAGATTTTCCTTATTGAGTAGCTAGAAAAGTAAAAAAATAAAAGTAACTTTTTAATTTTATTATTCACATTTTTATTTTTATAATTTAATATATATATATATATATATATATATATAATAAAATATCATAAATATGAAATATTATAAAAATGAATAATTTAATATATTTTTATTTATTTGTAATATAATATTATTGTATTAATTTAATTTCAAATAATTTTAGAAAAAAATAATTCTATAACAAAAATATTTCTAATTATATATCAAAATATATATTATTAAAAAACGATATAATATTAATTTAATATATTACTATAAAAAACTGTTTTATTAATAAAAAATAATTAATAATTATATAAATAATTTTGTAATTAAATAAATATTTATTTTTAATTCAATTATTTATTATTTTTAAAAATGAACATTTTATTATGTTACTTTTTCTTTCATTTTCTTTACTTCCTATCGACCCTAAAATTTCAGTAAATACTAAACTGAAAGTTCTTATTTTAGATGAACATTTACATATTTATGAGAATATTTATAACAAACCAAACAAATATTTTCCTTTCTTAAAAATAATTATTTTCTCAGGAAAAAGATTCAGCATTGCCCCGCATTTAGAAGAATATTTTGTTTCATGATGAGAATTATAATTCTTATTAATGCCTAAATTTGTTTAGTTGGTGAAAAATATTCATGGAAATATTTATATAAGTTTTTTATAAACCAAAAGATAATGTATCATTTTGATCAAAATTTGTTACCACATTAAATAATTTAATAAAAGTAACATGATATATTTCTATGATAAAATTTCAATATTTACCCATGAGAATGTTTTAAAAAGAATTGTGCCTGAAACTCTTTTAGAGGAAACAGTTTCCTATAAATGTTATTTTGTTAAGTAAGCGAAATGTAAGATATATGCTTTTTCAAGCACGAAACTAAACTATACTGCTGAACTTGTAACTGACATAAAATATCTCCAAAAATTCTTAAACTGCAAGTGAAAGAACATTGAAATTGGAATAGGAAACCGGATTTCTGATGAAGCAACTTACAGTACGATGATTTGGATCATAAACATCGTTTGCAAAGCCTTTAAACAAACCAAAATTATCAAAGCTAGTCATGCAAACAAGTAGAGTGAGTGTGTTCAACACTGAAAAAACAAATTGTCTTGTTTGTGAAAGAATATACAAATTTCTAATGAGATACTTTAACATCTGTTTTATCACTGTGTGGTCTCTTGTGAAAGCACTTCCTTGATGGCATAGGCCGTGATTTTCTGACCAAGAGACGTTCTATCAATCAAGTCATGAGAAACTCAGAAAATACCAGCCAAATTTGGGTTCCAGTCTCATTCTGATGAAGCAAATTTGAAGGAAGACATTTTTGTTTATTACACAACTTGGGAAAACTGAAAATTTCAAAAGCCATCTTAGTGCCTTACACTATTACAACATACACGGAGTTGGTGTAGTAGATGCAGCTGCAGTGTCCCAACACAAACATTGAAAGTGTCCTCCAAATTACATTAGCTGCAAAGGTTTGGTATGCACACCCCAGCATCTGGATTCTGTTGTTCCTTCCATATTCTTCCTGTAACTCTTAGTTTCAGCTCCTTCTTATCACCTCCGGAGAAAAACAAGGCCATGTTTCGTTGAATAATGAGACCGTCATGGCTATCCCTTACTTTGCGGTGGCTGTCGCGAATACTTCGCGGCGTACCCTCCCAAATAAGTTTCCTGCCATTTGCGCCAACCTCAAGGCTGTAACTGTAGTTGCGAGCCTCGTTCTCGTCACCCATAAATCGAAGGAATGCCATGTAAACAGGAGCCATGCCAAGCTGGAAAGCTTCGAAGTGAAGGCAGAAGTATTGGCCAAAACAATGAAATACCTATGGAAAGGTATGTTAATTGGTAAACAGAAAAATAGGATGGTGAGGTCAGTATATTGAATCATGAGATAAGACTACAGTTGCTAAAGTTAAAAGTGAATATTTAGAGAAGCTTTATGAAAGAGGTTGACGATTGGACACAAGGTAGTAATACTCTAAAATGTAGAACACTTACGGTGAGCATCCAAGTTGCATTCTCTACTTCACGAGGATTTGACTTCACATAACGATGGTTGAATGTGCATCCTGTGTGCATGTCCACCTTATGATCATCCCTCAAATGTGCTACAAGGAAGGGAATGTCCCCAACAACAGAGCACTCTGATCCAGCATAAGGACAATTGTATGGTCTAAAATTGCATACTGTCTCATGCTTAAGCTTGCTGTAGTATGGAAAGATTTCAGGACATCCAAGGGAGTAGTACTTGCAAGGTAATTCAAGTGATTCAGCCACCTTCTCCAGTGCTAGACACCTAATATCTCCAAGCTCTTGTCTACATGTGGGACATCGATTGTGCACCCTTGTTTTACATGTGGAACACAATGTATGCCCATTGTGGCACTGCAAGAAAGTATTTGTTACTTTTTTTTCCTTCCCTTTTTAGCAAATGCATACTTTTAAGCATGTATCAACTAAAATACTCCAATCATTATAAGAAAAACTTTCAATGACCACGTAGGTTCATATGTTCAGACTATTGCAGAAACAAATATTAGGCCACATATGAGGAAATTAAGACAATTGAAGAATTAAATATTAGGCAACATTCTAATGACGAGAATTTTAGCCCATAAAACCACAAAGTACCCTCACTTATGTCAATACTAACACCAATCAAATTTGGCAGGTTTTTGGGTGCATTTAAATTTGAAATGTGGTCATGCAAGAGAGCACAGAAAGATAGCTCAAAAAACGTACCAAAACTGATACTATGTTACATAAGAGTAATTTATTGAATGTTATCTATGATATCAGAGCCTACCTAGCTTCATTGTTAGGTCACCTACATTTGATTCGTTGTTACACCACCTACTTTTGTTAGGTTCCACACCAAGAACCAAATGGTGTGAAGGGGTGTTGAAAAGTCACCTTATATGCAATCATCCCAAGCCCATCTTTGTCGTAACCTCTTTGGAGCTTATCAAGCTCGAGTAGTCCTTATCTTACAAATCAATTTTGTCAACTTGAATTAGAATTCAAAGCTTAAATTCTAAGACACATCAAATTAGCCCTTCTTTTCATTGTTTTCCGGTATCATTTCCCTTAGCACTTAGCAAAAGATACTAGTATTTGGCATTATTTATTAGCTATAATTCCAGTTATCGGGTGAAAAAATTAACACTGTACAGAGAGGCTAAAAATTTTTACATGGTTTTTTACTGATAAAAGTGATTTTTAAGATAAAAGTATGTCAAAGTCATTTCCCCCTTACAAAGTGAAAAAAAAAGTCCAAAATTATTAGCATTGTAATGAGTAAAGTCCAAAAGAAATTAAAAGAAAAAGCAATTGTTACATTATTTTCTTTTTCCATTTGATGGGAGAGCACAAACATCTGTTAGTCTGTCACAAAAGATATAGCTATAAGCTTCGATTTGACATTTTACTCCAAGTATATCATACAATCTATAATAATTACTATACAATCACCCAGTGTGCATGTGCAAAGTGGTACTAGACCTGCCACAAAATTTGTAATGCCAAAAGTAAAATGCACCTGGACCCATATGTACAGCTTCACATTTAACCATCAAAAAACACAAGTTATCAGCAATGGAGCCCCCCTCTCTCTCTCTCTCTCACACACACACACGCATATATATATATATATATATACCCAAAATTTTAATCATTTGTATCATAAGACAAACTAAACCAACTCCTTTCATAAAAGATACAAAATTACAAATATTGGTCACCAGTTTGGCATGCTACAAAGAACATAATTCCATGACTTTATTTAAAAAATATAATGATGTTAATCTTTAATATTTAGGAAAATATCTTATTAATTTTGTTCTAAAAATCTATTAAATTAGAATAGATTATGTTACTCATTAGATGATAATAGACAAGAAAAGAATATGCTTACAAAATGTAGGAAACCAGAAGAATGTTGTGTCATGACAGAAATTATGCCGAAAAAGCAAAGATGATATTCATTTGCTTCTCCCAAGTGTTATATAGCAACATATTTGGATTCATACACTTGATCCTAGAAACATGTTGGAGCATCACAATCAATGCAGAAAAAACAAGAACAAGATAAGTAAAGCAAAAAGAATACTTGAAGAAGTAATAGGAAACAAAAAATATTTGTTGGTGTGTCAAACTATCAATCCTTTATTTATTATTTGTAATTAAACTTAAGTCAATAAATAGTCTTTAATTCTCAAATCATTTTATGATATAAAGGAAAGCTTAATAAAGTTTTATAATTGCAATTATTTATAGCCTTTGAAATAATGGACGATAAAGGGAAAATACTATTAAAAATAAAAGATATTCAAATAAAAAATAAAATATATTCTATGATTTACTATAAAAGAAAAATAGAATAGTTATATGAAAAGGTAAAATAATATATTATCTTCATAAAAATAATTAAAGGAGAACAAAATATTTATTAAAAATAAAAATAATGACACTTATTCTTATATATCATCATTTGATACTTAAATACAAATAATTATTTAATATTAATATCTTATTACATATTAAAGTATTTAAAATCATAGAATCACAACATAAACTTTTCCCTGGAAGTGAATTACATAGAAAACAAATTCATCAAAGGCCATGTCGCATAATTCAATTGCAAGAGTAAAAGTGCAAGGTCAGTTTGAACACTAGATGATCTTCAATTAGACTAGGCAGATTTTGAGTCACTTTTAACTGTGTCTGAATATAAGAACAAGGAAGGCAGATAGTATAAACTCCGGAAGCAAAAAACTGTTGACAATTCAAGGACTTGATGTTGCACTTGATGAATATGAAGAATGAATTTTGATGATGATCCAAGAACTAAAGACTTAGAATATTGAAGATTGAAGAATTGGTGATAATTGTATTGTAATAACTCTGTTTTATTTAAGATTGAGTCTGTATTTTTAGAGTCTAAGATAGCCGGTACATAGTCTGTAACTTAGAAGCTTCAAAAAGCTCAAAATTATCATTCAGAGCTCGGCTTTAATCGATTATATAGGTAAATAATCGATTAAAACAGTGAGAAAACACTTTCTATACAAACTCACTGTTTTAATCGATTAAAACAACAAAATAATCGATTGTTTTGTACTTGTTCAGTACGGATAATCGATTATTTCACCAAATAATCGATTATTCCGAGAGGTTTGGGTTCGACGTATTTGACTCTGTTTTAATCGATTATCACTCCAAATAATCGATTATTTCAGTTTGTTTCGATTTTAAACATCAAACAAACCCTATTTTCGAAAACCCAATTACCAAGAACCCTAGTTTCGAAATCCCCAATTCCTAAACCCTAATTTCCCTACTTAAACTCTGCTTTGGCACTCGGAAAGTAAGAACAACTCTTTCCATACAAAAGTTAAGTGCTTGTGAGTGCCGGAGAACTGTTTGTTGCAAGGAAAGGGGGCTTTTGGAACTCGGTGTGAGGCTAGAAGCGATAAGAATCACTAAGTGGAGTTCTTAGTGGATTGTGTCTTTGTCCGTCTCTAGGGAAAAGCTGTTCTTCATCTCTTGTGGATTTCAAGAGAGGTGTTTTCGTATCTTTATCTTTTCATTTGTAATCTGTTTGTAACAATTTGTTCTCGGTGACGGCGTTAATCCTCTTTTGAGTGATTAGCAATCTGGACGTAGGGTCTTTTGATCCGAACCAAGTATAAACCTACCTGTGTAATCTTCTCTACTCTTCTCTATTTACATTTACGCAGCTTTTTAATCGGTAAAATTTGGGGAAAATTTTGAAAACCTAATTTTTATTAAAAATCCAATTCACCCCCTCTTGGTTTTTGTCCGTCCACGCGAACATTCGACTGCGCGATTCTAACAAGTGGTATCGAGCTTGCTTTGATAGTCATTCAAATATTTTCGAAAATGGCCGGACAAAATCAAACTTTTGCCGAAGGTGCGTCTATCAACGAGACCCCCACTTTTTGCGGGTCAAAATTATCCTTTTTGGAAAGTACGTATGCAAATATTTTTAGAGTCTCGTTGATAGAGGCGTTTGGGACGCAATTTTAAACGGTCCATTTGTTCCTAAAATTACGAGAACGGTGTTGACGTTCTTAAACCTATTTCTAGATGGACTGCAGACGAAAGTCGAAAAGCACAATTTGATGTTAGGGCTAGAAACATTATTTCATCTCGCTCTAACCCTTGATGAGTTTTATAGAATTTCGGTTGTAAAAGTGCACAGGAAATGTGGGAAATGCTAAGGGTGACCCACGAAGGAACCGACGACGTCAAAAGAGCGCGTAAAAATTCTCTAATTCAAGAGTACGAAATGTTCCGGATGCAACCAGGCGAAACGATATTTGACGTACAGAAACGTTTCACTCATGTCGTGAACCATCTCACCGGACTAGGTAAAATTTTTGATGTTGATGAATTAAATGTTAAAATTTTGAAATCTCCGGATAGGAAATGGCAACCAAAGGTGACGGTCATCTCGGAGTCACAAAATCTTGCCACTATGTCTATGGCGGCGTTATTTGGAAAGCTTAGGGAGCATGAACTTGACCTTGGAAGACTAAATGAGGAAGAGGGTCAATATCAAAAGAAGAACCTAGCTTTCAAGACCGAGATTTCAAAAAGCAAAAATAAGAAAGAAGAAGAAGACTCTGAAATTGATGAAGAAGAGATGAGTCTTTTTATAAAGAGGTTCACCAAGATGATGAAAGCAAAAGGAAGACATCCTTTCAAAGGTAAGGGAAAGGTAAAAGAAAATTCTTCCGTTAATATAAAATGCTTTGGTTGTGGTGAAGCAGGGCATATGAAGATTGAATGCCCAAACAAGAAAAATGATGAACACAAGGGCAAAAAGCAATTCAAGAAGAAAGCATATATTGCTTGGGATGACAGTGATTCAAATTCAGAATCAAGCGACTCAGAAATTGAAGCAAACATTTGCTTGATGGCAAATAACAACACTTCTTCGGATTTTGAGGTTAGTAATTCCGATTCATCCTCTAGTGAAGAAAATGACCATGATGAATTGCAAAATGCTTATAATGAGTTATTTACTGCATTTATGGAAATGAAAAAAGAATATAAAGTTGTAAAGAAAAATCTAAGAAAATCCGAAAAGGAAAATGAGTCCTTAAAATTGAAAATTGCATGTTTAAAAGAAAAGGAGGTAGCTAATACGAAAATTGTATGCTTAGATGAGAATAAGGACTTAGCTTGTGCAAATTGTAAAGAGCATGAATATGACATAGATATTCTTAACCATTTGCTTGACAAAGCCGAAAAAGAAATTGATGATCTTAAGAAGCATGGAATGGTAATTGCTCAAAATAATGTAAATCAAAGAGTTCCTTTGAAAAAGAGTAAAACTAAAAAGAAAAGAGTATGGGTAGAAAAAGGAACTAGAGCATGTCATGTAAATAATGCATCTTATTCCATAGCTACATCAAAAGCATGTTTTTATTGCATGAAACAAGGTCACACTTCAAATAAGTGTAAAATCAAACATTTTGGTGTTCCTAAAGGAAAATATGTTTGGGTTCCTATAGTTAAATGAACTATTTGCATATTGTATTTATTCAAAGAAAATGGATCATTTAGTATGTTTTAAATGGAATGCTTAGGTAACAACATTTTATCTTTTCTATTGTATGAAGGTTCTTCACTTAAAGATTTTTTGTGAAAAGCCTCTAAAATTGTTTTAAACAACCTAAAACAAAGTATTTTTACAAAAGCCTTCTTAAAACATGGTTTTAACTGATGCAGTTTTGAAAGAACCAAATAAAATCAATTAGAATGGTCAAAGAAGTGTTTTTACAGCATTTTAATCGATACAACATGTTTTTAATCGATTAAAACCATTTAGAACTCATTATGATCGATCAGATTTTTATTATGAGCTGGTCAGAATCCTTTAAATCGATTAAAAACACGTTTCAATCGATTAAAATTACTTAAAGGGTCAGGATGATCGATCAGAATCAAATTA